GAGGCGTGTTCCAAGCTCTGAAGCTCTGAGTGTCTCTGGGAAGTCCGCGCATGCTCAGTAGCCCTTCTGGCTTCAGGCCGGCCTTCCTTCCTTTCTCTGACAGGCGCTTCCGGTTTGGAGGGGGCGGAGCCGTGCTTCCGCTTCCGGTTTGGTTTGTGTGAGGCTTCCTTCCGAGGCGAGGATGTGGCTCTTTTCTCGGGACCCGCTCCGGGAGTTCCCCTTCGAGGCCGCCCCGGGAGGAACAGCCCCGCCGCCTTGCCCACTCCCACCCGGGACAGGCGTCTGGCAGCTCCACCGCGGGAGGAGGAAGGTAGGCCCCCAAGGCGGCAGGGGAAGGGGGACCCAAAGGGCATCCAGCCTGACCCCCTCCTGCCATCAAGACAGGCACAACCTGATCCCTCCTGATAGATGGCCGTCCAGCTACTCCTTAATAATAATAATAATAATAGAGGTATACATTCCTAGAGTTGGAAGGGAGCCCCAAAGGGCATCCAGTCCGACCCCCTCCTGCCATCAAGGAAGATAATCTGATCCTTTCCGACAGATGGCCATCCAGCCTCTGCTTAATAGTAATAATAGATCTATACACTCCTAGAGTTGGAAGGGAGCCCAAAAGACTATCCAGCCTGACCCCTTCCTGCCATTAATAAAGACAATCTGATCCCTCCTGACAGATGGCCGTCCAGCTACTGCTTAATACTACTACTACTACTACTACTACTACTACTAATAATAATAATAGATCAGTACATTTTTAGAGTTGGAAGAGACCCCAAAGGCCATCCAGCCTGGCCACCTCCTGCCATCAAGGAGGACACAACCCGATCCCTCCCAACAGATGACCATCCAGTCTCTGCTTTAAAGACTCCAAAGAAAGAGACCCCACTCCTAGGCAGTTTTATAGCTGGAAGGGAACCCCCAAAGGACATCCATTCAGACCCATTCTTGACATCAAGACAGACACAACCCGATCCCTCCTGATAGATGGCCATCCAGAGACCCCAAAGGCCGTCCAGTCTGGCCCCCTCCTGCCATCAAGACAGACACAACCTGATCCCTCCTGATAGATGGCCATCCAGCCGCTGCTTAATAATAATAATAATAATAAATGTGTACATTCCTAGAGTTGGAAGAGAGCCCCAAAGGACATCCAGGCTGACCCCCTCCTGCCATCAAGGAAGACACAACCCGATCCCTCCTGACAGATGGCCATCGAGCTAGATCCCCTCCTGCCATCAAGAAAGACACAACCTGATCCCTCCTGATAGATGGCCGTCCAGCTACTGCTTAATAATAATAATAATAATAATAATAATACATCTATATATTCCTAGAATTGGAAGGGAACCCCAAAGGACATCCAGACTGACTCCCTCCTGCCATCAAGGAAGACACAATCTGATCCCTCCCGACAGATAGCCATCCAGCTAGACCTCCTGCTGCCATCAAGAAAGACACAACCTGATCCCTCCTGATAGATGGCCGTCCAGCTACTGCTTAATAATAATGATAATAATAATAATAATAATAATAATAGATGTGTACATTCCTAGAGTTGGAAGGGAACCCCAAAGGACATCCAGTCTAACCCGCTCTTGACATCAAGGAAGACACAACGCGATCCCTCCTGATAGATGGCCATCCAGCCACAGCTTAATAATAATGATAATAATAATAATAATAGATGTGTACATTCCTAGAGTTGGAAGGGAGCCCCAAAGGACATCCAGCCTGACCTCCTCCTGCCATCAAGAAAGACAATCTGATCCCTCCTGACAGATGGCCGTCCAGCTACTGCTTAATAATAATAATAATAATAATAGATGTATACATTCCTAGTTGCAAGACACCCCAAAGGGCATCCAGCCTGGCCCCCTCCTGCCATCAAGAAAGACACAACCCGATCCCTCCTGATAGATGGCCATCCAGCCTCTGCTTAATAATAATAACCGATATATACATTGCTATAGTTGGAAGGGAGCCCAAAAGACTATCCAGTCTGACCCCTTCCTGCCATCAATAATGACAATCTGATCCCTCCTGACAGATGGCCGTCCAGCCGCTGCTTAATAATAATAATAGATGTATACATTCCTAGAGGTGGAAGAGACCCCAAAGGCCATCCACTGTCTGTCCAGCTGCTGCTCAGTCTCTCTTTTCCTGCCATTGGAATAGATGGCTCTGTTGTGTCCCATTCTTCTCTTCTGTCTCAGCCTTGTTTGTTTGTTTGCCAGGCCACGGGGGAGCAAGTGTCCCTCTTCATCCACGACGTGAAGCCCAACGCCGAGGAGCAGACCCAGCTGGCCAAGGCGGCCTTCAAGCACCTCAAGACCCTACGGCACCCCAATATCCTCTCCTACATCGACGGGTTGGAGGTAAAGCATTGAGGACTAGAGACTTGGGAGAGGAACTGCTTTCCCTTGTATTTACGTCTTTGTTTATATCCAGACCAGAATATGGAGAGGTTTGCGATATGTTAAATGCATCTTAAAGCCTAATATGGTGCAAGGAAAAAAGGGAGGCAAGGAAAGGAAGGAAATAATAATAATAATCAATAATCAATAATAATTATTCTTGATATTCATTATTGATTAATTAATTGTTGCTGTATATTATATTGTAATTAATATTGTAATTAATATTGTAATTAATATTATATTGTAATTAATATTATATTGTAATTATTATAAAATAATATAATAGTTAATTGTTATATTATAATTAGTAATTATTGATTAATTATAGCTATTATTGATATTAATTATTGATTAATTGTTGCTATTATATTATAATTAATATTATATTGTAATTATTATAAAATAATATAATAGTTAATTGTTATAATAATTATCGATTAATTATAGTTATTATTGATATTTATTGATTAATTGTTACTATTATATTATAATTAATATTATATTGTAATTATTATAAAATAATATAATAGTTGTTATATTATAATAATTATTGATGAATTATACTTATTATTGATATTCATTATCGATTAATTGTTGCTATTATATTATAATTAATATTATATTGTAATTATTATAAAATAATATAATAGTTAAATGTTATATTAAATAATTATTGATTAATTATAGTTATTATTGATATTAATTATTGATTAATTGTTACTATTATATTATAATTTATATTATATTGTAATTATTATAAAATAATATAATAGTTAATTGTTATATAATAATGAATACTTATTGATTAATTATAGTTATTATTGATATTAATTATTGATTAATTAATTGGGTTGTTGTAGGTTTTTTCGGGCTATATGGCCATGTTCTAGAGGCACTTTCTCCTGACGTTTCGCCTGCATCTATGGCAAGCATCCTCAGAGGTAGTGAGGTCTCTTGGAACTAGGAAAAGGGGTTTATATATCTGTGGAATGACCAGGGTGGGACAAAGGACTCTTGTCTGCTGGAGCTAGGTGTGAATGTTTCAACTGACCAGCTTGATTAGCATTTGATGGCCTGGCAGTGCCTGGGGCAATCTTTAGTTGAGAGGTGATTAGATGTCCTTGTTTGTTTCCTCTCTGTTGATTTGCTATTGTAATTTTAGAGTTCTTTTTAATACTGGTAGCCAGATTTTTTGTTCATTTTGATGGTTTCCTCCTTTCTGTTGAAACTGTCCACATGCTTGTGGATTTCAATGGCTTCTCTGTGCAGTCTGACATGGTGGTTGTGAGAGTGGCTAATTAATTATTGCTATTATATTATAACTAATATTATATTGTAAGTATATATTTTTCGGGCTAGAAGCATTCTCTCCTGACGTTTCACCTGCATCTACGGCAAGCATCCTCAGAGCTTGTGAGGTTCCCTTTCTTTGCTTTGCCAGACGGAGAAATGCCTGCACGTGGTGACGGAGCCCGTGACGCCGCTGCCGGCTCACCTGGAGTCGCGAACGGGCGAAGGGAGGGGCCTGAGCGAGCTGGAGGTCTCTTGGGGTCTCCATCAGATCGTGGTGAGTCAGTGAGCGGTGAGTCGGGGGCGCAGGACCGAAGACCGACAGGTCGCAGGTTCGAATCCGGGTTGAGCTCCCTCTTTCAGGTCCAGCTCCCCACACGGGGACATGAGAGAAGCCTCCCACAAGGATGGGAAAACATCAAAACACCCAGGCAGCATTCCCTGGGCAACGTCCTTGCAGACGGCCAATTCTCTCACACCAGAAGCAACTTGCAGTTCCAAACCTTAAGCACTGCTTTCCGCTTTCTCTCTCGTCCCGCAGAAAGCCCTTAGCTTCTTGGTGAACGACGGCCACTTGGTCCACAGCAACGTCTGCACCTCCTCCGTCTTCGTGGACCGCGCCGGCGAATGGAAACTGGGTGGTTTGGAGTACATGTGCCCAGCGCAAAGCGAGGGTCTCACGCTGCAGAAGGGGGTCCCCGAGCTGGAGAAGTACGACCCGCCCGAGATGGGCGAGAGCGACAAAAGCGGCGGCGGGGAGAAATGGTGAGTGTATCCGTCTCATTTTCCCAGGTACAGTCAAAATAAAGAAATCCATAACTCACTCCTACAACATCCTGGGAGTTATAGTTTTACAAGGCCAAGAGTGCTGGTGTATGCCAAACTTGCTACATCTTGCTGTAGCACGTTACATTATGTTATTATATAAAATAAATGTATTATTATATAATATTATGACTTTATATTATTATTATACTATAATTTTATAATTACCGTATATACTCGGGTATAAGCCGACCTGAATATAAACCGAGGCACCTAATTTTACCACCAAAAAATGGGAAAATGTATTGACTGTAGCAGCAGCTACAGGTAATATAAAATAAATATAGATACCAATAAAATTGCATTAATTGAGGAAACAGTATGTTTACATAAAACTGCAATAAGACTAACCAACTTTGATTAAACCATTATTCTAACCTTTTTCAGTGTCAATGCGCTTACATATCCTTCCAATAATAAGAAAGAAAGTAAAATAATAAATGTAATAACAACAATAATAAAGTAAAATAATAAATGTAATAATAATGATAGAAATAAGAGTAAAATAAATGTAATAAAAATGATAATAGTGAAATAATGCAAATGTAATAATGCCAATAATAGAGTAAAATAATAAATGTAATAACAATAATACTAAAGTAAAATAATAAATGTAATAATAATAATAAAAATAAAAATAGAGTAAAATAAATGTAATAAAAATAATAATAGAGTGAAATAATGCAAATGTAATAATGCCAATAATAGAGTAAAATAATAAATGTAATAACAATAATACTAAAGTAAAATAATAAATAATAATAAATGTAGTAATAAAATAGAGTAAAATAATGTAATAAAATAATAAAGTAAAATAATAAATGTAATAAAATATTAATATAACAAAATAATTTTAATGTAATAATAATAAATAGAGTAAAATAATAAATGTAATAATAAAAATAGAGTAAAATTAATAAATGTAATAGTAATAATAATAGAGTAAAATAATAAATGTAATAACAATAATAAAGTAAAATAATAAATGTAATAATAATAATAATAGAGTAAAATAATGCAAATGTAATAATGGCAATAATAGAGTAAAATAATAAATGTAATAACAATAATAAAGTAAAATAATAAATGTAATAATAATAATAGAGTAAAATAATGCAAATGTAATAATGCCAATAATAGAGTAAAATAATAAATGTAATAACAATAATACTAAAGTAAAATAATAAATGTAATAATAATAATAAATAGAGTAAAATAAATGTAATAAAATAATAATCGATTAAAATAATGTAAATGTAATAATACCAATAATAGAGTAAAAAATAAATGTAATAAAAATAATAGTAATAACAGAGTAAAAAAATAAATAACTTTATCTCGAGTATAAGCCGAGGGTACTTTTTCAGCCTAAAAAAGGGGCTGAGAAACTAGGCTTATACTCGAGTATATACAGTATATTATAAATAATAATAATAATAATGTATTACACTATGTAACATGATTTTGTTCCTGGGTCATAAATGTCATTTCCTAATTGGTTCTATCATAACAACACAGGAAAAGTTTGCTGAACTGCAAAAAACCGTTTTTACAAGAGCACGTTACATATTATTATATTAAATAAATATATTATTTATTATTATATAATATGACTTTATATTATTGTTATGCTATAATTTTATAATTATATAATATTATGACTTTATATTATTATACTATAATTTTATAATTATATTATTATTATTATTATTAATAATATATTACACTATGTAATATGATTTTGTTCCTGTTTTTACAGGAGCATGTTACATTATATTATTATATTAAAAATATATTATTTATTATTATATAATATGACTTTATACTATTATTATGCTATAAATTTATATTTATATAATATTATAACTTATTATTATTATACTATAATTTTATAATTATATTATTATCATTATTATTATTAATAATAATATATTACACTATGTAATATGATTTTGTTCCTGTTTTTACGGGAGCATGTTACATTATATTACTATATTAAATAAATATATTATTTATTATTATATAATATTTTGACTTTATATTATTATTATTATACTATAATTTTATAATATCATTATATTATTATTATTATTATATATTACACTATGTAACATGATTTTGTTCCTGGGTCATAAATGTCATTTCCTAATTGGTTCTATCATAACAACACAGGAAAAGTTTGCTGAACTGCAAAAAACCCTTTTTACAAGAGCACGTTACATTATATTATTATATTAAATAAATATATTATTTATTATTATATAATATTATGACTTTTTATTATTATTATTATACTGTAATCTTATAATTATATTATTATAATTATTATAATTATTATTATGTAATTATATTATTATTATTAATAATAATAATAATAATATTACACTATGTAACATGATTTTGTTCCTGGGTCATAAGGGAAAAGTGTATTGAATTGCAAAAACTTTGTTTTAGTGGAGCACATTTTGCAATAGTTTTTCAGTTAATATCTCATACGAGTCTAAACCAATTCAACATAGTTTCGGGTGCAAATACAGGGTTAGTCAAAATGAATAGGCCAATAAGAAAATTAATTTTAGACAAATGTATGTTTACTGTAACCAAACCACAGCTACGTAGCGACAGATAAACTATCAAAGTTTTTTTTTAGCAACACACATGTACGTTAATGCCGCTAGGCGTCGCTAGGGGTCGCTGTTTTCAAAATGGCGGAATCAAGCAAAGAGAAGACGTTTTGTGTGATGACATTTGCTAAAACAATGTCAGTAATTACGGTCCAACGAGAATTTCAAGGGTTAGGGTTAGGGTTAGGGTTAGGGTTAGGGTTAGGGATAGGGTTAGGGTTAGGGTTAGGGTTAGGGATAGGGTTAGGGTTAGGGTTAGGGTTAGGGATAGGGTTAGGGATAGGGTTAGGGATAGGGTTAGGGATAGGGTTAGGGATAGGGATAGGGTTAGGGATAGGGATGGGGTTAGGGTTAGGGATAGGGATAGGGTTAGGGTTAGGGTTAGGGATAGGGTTAGGGTTAGGGTTAGGGTTAGGGTTAGGGTTAGGACCTCAACGAACACCTTCCCAGACGTTGCTGCATTCGATGCCATTACGTCGGATGTGCTGCAACGGATGTGGAATGAACTGGACTATCGCTTGGACATCTGCCGTGTCACACGGGGCGCCCATATCGAACATCTCTGAAGGTGAGACAAAACTTTGATAGTTTATCTGTCGCTACGTAGCTGTAGTTTGGTTACAATAAACATACATTTGTCTAAAATTAATTTTCTTATTGGCCTATTCATTTTGACTAACCCTGTACAACGTATCTGGAGTACAACAAGTAAGGATGACACACTGAAACAGGAAGCCAGAAACAGAATTTTGTTGCATAGCGTTATCCCAAAGCAGTCGATGCATCCTCACTCCTTCCCTTCCTTTGGAACAGGTCGGCGGACATGTGGCGCCTCGGCTGCCTCATTTGGGAAGTTTTCAATGGCCCTTTGCCTCGGACGTCCTCCCTCCGATCTTTTGGGAAAGTGAGTATCGCTGTTCCCGGGTCTGGGAAAAAAATAACAACACATTTTGGCCATGACAGAGCTGGGCTGCTCTTTATCTCCCTTAGAAGCAACCACAATTGGATCATCAAATGTCTAGATGTCATCGGAGTTTGTGATCATCAAATGTCTAGATGTCATCAGAGTTTGTGATCATCAAATGTCTAGATGTCATCAGAGTTTGTGAAAATATTAGAACAAGCCAGTCAAGGTGGTCCCAGTGGTGATTGGTGCAGTGCCTACAGACCTTGGCCTGCACTTAAAAACAATTGGCGCTGACAAAATTATCACCTGCTGGCTGCAAAAGGCCATCCTACTGGGATCTGCAAGCATTATTTGCCGATACATGACACAGTCCTAGACACTTGGGAAGTGTCCGACGTGTGATCCAATACAACAGCCAGCAGAGTGTCTGCTGTGGAATCATCTTGTTGTGTTTCTAATAATAATAATAATAATAATAATAATAAGGCATTTGGCTCACTTCCGCATTGTTGGATCTTTAAATGTCTAGATATCATTGGGGTTTGTGAAAATATTAGAACAAGCCAGTCAAGGTGGTCCCAGTGGTGACTCATCTTGTTGTGTTTCAAATAATAATAATAATAATAATAATATTTGACTCACTGCCACATTGTTGGATCTTCAAATGTCTAGATGTCATTGGGATTTGTGAAAATATTAGAACAAGCCAGTCAAGGTGGTTCCAGTGGTGACCTTGTCTGCTGTGGACTCATTTTGTTGTGTTTATAATAATAATAATAATAACAATAATAATAATAATAATAACAATAATAATAAATATTATAATGTATTTGACTCACTGCCATCTTGTTGGATCATCAAATGTCTAGATGTCATCGGGGTTTGTGAAAATAGTAGAACAAGCAGTCAAGGTGATCCCAGTGGTGACCTTGTCTGCTATGGACTCATCTTGTTGTGTTTCTAATAATAATAATAATAATAATAATAATAATAATAATGTATTTGACTCACTGCCACATTGTTGGATCATCAAATGTCTAGATGTCATCGGGGTTTGTGAAAATAGTAGAGCAAGCCAGTCAAGGTGGTCCCAGTGGTGATCGTGGATTATCAAATGTCTAGATGTCATCGGGGTTTGTGAAAATAGTAGAACAAGCCAGTCAAGGTGGTCCCAGTAGTGATCAACACATTGGTTGCAGTGCCTCAAGACCCTGGCTTGCACTTAAAAACAATCAGCGCTGGCTAAATCACCACGTGTCAGCTGCAAATTAGTATGGAAAACGGGTCTCTTACTAGCTATTGGCACGCAAGCATGATGGAGTTATTATCCATCTTGCCCTTCTCGCCATGCCTATACCTTCTCGTCCTTTCCTCCCTATAGATCCCCAAGTCCTTGATCCCCCATTATTGTGAATTAGTGGGCGCCAACCCTAAAGTGCGGCCCAATCCGGCCAAGTTCCTGCAGAGTTGCCGCAGCCCCGGCGGCTTCATGGACAACAGCTTTGTGGAGACCAACCTCTTCTTGGAAGAGATCCAGGTGAGGCACTCATCTTGTTGTGTTTCTAATAGTAATAATAATAATAATAATAATAATAATAATAATAATAATAATAAAGTATTTGACTCACTGCCACATTGTTGGATCATCAAATGTCTAGATGTCATCGGGGTTTGTGAAAATAGTAGAACAAGCCAGTCAAAGTCACACCCCATGACGTTCTGCTGCCTTCTCCTCCCAGATTAAGGATCCGGCCGAGCGGCAGCAGTTCTTCCAGGAGCTGAGTGCCAATCTGGACGCCTTCCCGGAGGATTTCTGCCGCCACAAGGTCCTCCCACAGCTGCTGACCGCCTTCGAGTTTGGAAGCGCCGGTGCCGTCATCCTCACCCCCCTTTTCAAGGTGAGCTTCGCCCATAAACTAGGAATACAAAACAGTATTGTTGGGGCCAGGAAGGCAGTTCCACCTCGTCTCCTGTGCTATACTAATAATATAATATATTGTATACACATATATTATGGCAAATATAATATAATATAATATAATATAATATAATATAATATAATATATTGAATGTGTGTGTATATATATATTATTTATGTGTGTGTGTTGTATATATATATATTATTTATAATATTATAATGTAATGCAATATAATAACTAATAATATATGTGATATATTAAGTTAAATATAATAAATTGTATATACATATAATATTTAAGTATTATAATGTATGTATATACAATATAATATATTGTATATACATATATTAATCATATAATATAATATATTGTATATGCATATATATTTATAATATTATAATGTATATACAATATATATATATAACATATATTAGATAAATATAATATATTATATTTGTATATGCATATAATACTTATAATATTATACCGTATGTATATAAAATATAACATTGTATATACATATATTAAGGTAAATATAATAAATTGTATATACATATAATATTTATAGTATTATAATGTATGTATAAACAATATAATATATTGTATATACATACATTATAATACCATAAATATTATATGTATATACAATTTATTATATTTACCTTAATTTGACAATGTGCAAAATAGTTGTATATTTTTTTTAAAAAAAGAACATAAATATGGAACTGCTACAAAAATAATACAGAATACCAAGGACACAGTGACTACGATTGAAACGAGAACTATAAAAAAAAACTTTTGAGCATCACTCACTCTCCGCATATACAATATAATATATTGTATATGCATATATTAAGGTAAATATAATATATTGTATATACATATACTAAGGTAAATATAATATAATATATTGTATATACATATAATATTTATAATATTACAATTTATGTATGTACAATATAATATATTGTATATACATATATTAAGGTAAATATAATACATTATGTTGTATATGCATATAATATTTATAATATTATAATGTATGTTCATGGGGAGAACTGTGTGCCAAGTTTGGCTCAATTCCATCGTTGGTGGGGTTCAGAATGCTCTTTGATTGTAGGTGAACTATCAATCTCAGCAACTACAACTCCCAAATGACAAAATCTTTTTTTTTTTTAGTGAAGGACATACATTGGGTTGTTAGGTGTCTTGTGTCCAAATTTGGTGTCAATTCGTCCAGTGGTTTTTGAGTTCTGTTAATCCCACAAACGAACATTACATTTTTATTTATATAGATAAGTAAAAAAGCACTTTAAAGAAATAGGTAGATCCAATTAGGTAAGAAGATAAGCAAGAACAAATTAGTCCAAAGAAGAGTTCAGCACAATCCATAAAAGCAAAGTCCACACATCTCTAATATATTATATTTCTATAGAACACATATTACAAACACAGAGAACAGGGATTAAACACAGGACGAGAGTTTAAAATTCAGGCTTAAACCTGACCCTTGCTTACTGCCTGGAGACCTCCTGTGCCCGGGTGGCGTTGATTCTTATGTTTTTCAATACTGATAGCCATTTTTTAAAATTCATTTTCATGGTTTTTTCCTTTCTGCATTTTTTTATATTCTTATTTATTCAGCCCACCTCCTTCTCATCTTTTCTCTTCTCCCGTTTCAGGTGGGGAAGTTCTTGAACGCTCAGGAATACCAACAGAAAATCATCCCGGTCATTGTGAAGATGTTCTCCTCGCCAGACAGAGCCATGAGGATCCGGTTACTGCAACAGGTTCGTTTGCTTAAAACCTTTTCAAACCCTCCTACGTTTCACACTTTATAACTCATGTCTGTGAATTTAGTGGTAGCATATCTTCCCTTAGGATTGTGTTTAGGATTGCTAGTTCCACGGCCGAGCTTATTTGTGTACACTTCAAAAATTTCCTAAAAATCGGTGCATGTGTTGCAACCCAGAGCAGGAAACTGGACCCTAAGACCACAATCATGTCCTTTGACCAGTATCTGGCCACTTGGAGTGCCTCTGGTGTTGCCGCAAGAAAGTCCTCCATCGTGCATGTGGCAGGGCTCAGGTTGCATTGCAGCAGGTGGTCAGTGGTTTGCTCTTCTCCACACTCGCATGTCGTGGATTCCACTTTGTAGCCCCATTTCTTAAGGTTGGCTCTGCATCTCGTGGTGCCAAGAGCACAGTCTGTTCAGCGCCTTCCAAGTCGCCCAGTTTTCTGTGTGCCCAGGGGGGAGTCTCACATTTGGTATCAGCCATTGATTGAGATTCTGGGTTTGAGCCTGCCACTTTTGGACTCTCGCTTGCTTGGGTGTTCCAGCGAGTGTCTCTGTAGATCTTAGAAAACTATTTCTTGATTTAAGTCGTTGACGTGCTGGCTGATACCCAAACAAGGGATGAGCTGGAGATGTCTCTGCCTTGGTCCTTTCACTATTGGCTGCTACTTCCCGGCGGATGTCAGGTGGTGCAGTGTAATTTCTCCAGTGGTGTAGGGCGCAGACACTCCATATCTCATGAAGAGCCACATCCACTGTTTTAGCGTGGTGAGATGTGTTCCACACTGGGCATGCATACTCAGCAGCAGAGTAGCACAGCGCAAGGGCAGATGTCTTCACTGTATCTGGTTGTGATCCCCAGGTTGTGCCAGTCAGCTTTCGTATGATATTGTTTCTAGCACCACTTTTTGCTTGATGTTCAGGCAGTGCTTCTTGTAGGTCAGAGCACGGTCCAGAGTGACTCCCAGGTATTTGGGTGCGCTGCAATGCTCCAGTGGGATTCCTTCCCAGGTGATTCTCAGAGCTCGGGATGCTTCTCTGTTCTTGAGATGAAAGGCACATGTCTGTGATTTAGATGGATTAGGGATCAGCTGGTTTTCCCTGTAATAGGCAGTAAGGGCACCTAGAGCTTCGGAGAGCTTCTGTTCTACCATCTCAAAGTTCCCTGCTTGAGCGGTGATGGCACGATCATCAGCATAGGTTAATCTCTCTGTCCCTTCTGCCCATGGCTGGTCATTTGTGTAGATGTTGGACATGGATGGAGCAATCACGCTCCCCTGAGGCAGGCCGTTCTTCTGTTTCCGCCATCTGCTTCTCTGACCCTGGAACTCAACAAAAAAGCTCCTGTTTTGTAGCAGGTTTCCTATGAGGCGGGTGAGGTGGTAGTCCTTTGTGATATTATACATTTTTCTCAGGAGGAGGCGGTGATTCACAGTATCATAGGCTGCTGACAGGTCTATGAAGACAGCTCCTGTGATCTGCTGCCTTTCAAAGCCATCTTCTATGTGCTGAGTCAGGTTCAGCACTTGCGATGTGCAGCTTTTGCCTTTCCGGAAGCCAGCTTGCTGTGGGAAGCAACCAGAAGCAACTTGCAGCATGCAAGCAAGCAAGCAAAACAACCAACGGTCCTTTTCAGGACCAACCATGACAATAATCTCAATCAACATTGAAGGTATGTCAGCTGCCAAAGAACAACTGCTCTATAAACTGTGCTGAGATAAGAAATGCGATGTGCTGTGTGTCCAAGAAACACACAGGGATGAACAACCGAAACAACCAAAAGTCCCAGGAATGGTCTTAGTAGCGGAAAGACCACATGCGCAGTATGGAAGCGCCGTCTTTGTCAAACCAGGCCTCCAAGTCAGCAGTGCCCACAACACTGAAGAAAACAATATCGAGGTTCTAACAGTAGAGCTTAATAATAACAAAGCCACAGTAAAACTCAGCAACAAGAAATGTCCATGAACAAGATCAAAAACCCACAGTAACACTGCTAAATCCTGGAACCTGTTAGCAATCCACTAACCGTACTTGAAGCTCTAGAAAAATTCCTTGGAACAAAGCCACTGGAAGCAGGAGAACTGCAAGAGTCTGCACATGAATCTGAAACGCTGCCTGGACGGAATGGGCATCCAGGCCAAGCGTTTTTAAAGCATAGAAATCTATTTCGTGACGTGCCTGAAGGCCGTGTTTGCATTTCTCTTAATCTAGCTGACCTCCGTAAACTCGGCGCTTCGCCTCTGCTTTGACAAATTTGCCCCCGTCTATCCTCGTCAGAGGGACCAGGTGTCAGATTATCTGAAGAGCTAAAAGGGAGTGAAAGTTCACTGCTTGGCTCTGAATCATTCTCATGGGAATTTGGCTTTCCAAAGCAGCAGGATTTTCACTACACAAACCGTCATCTTCTACATTGACCTCAGAATCATTGACATCAGGAAATACAATCAGAGAGTCAGGTACAGGTTCACACACAGGCTGAACCCCAACAGCATGAGCAGATCTTTCTGAAACTTGGCAGGAATGATGCCCTGGTTACGGTATGTCGTTGTAGAAAAATCCAAGGGGATGGGTCATACCATTTATTTATTTATTTATTTATTTATTTACAGTATTTATATTCTGCCCTTCTCACCCCACAGGGGACTCAGGACGGATCACAATGCACATATACATGGCAAACATTCAATGCCATAGACACACAACATATATAGACAGACACACAGAAGCTATTTAACTTTCAGCTTCATGAGAATATGCTTTGAATTCCTGCCACCGGGGGAGCTGTTGCTTCACCGTCCACTTGTGATGGAGTACTTCCTCATTCTTTTGCACGCTGCTGGAGAGTTTTAACCCATTTTGCCCTAACTTGAGGACGGCCTGTATATAGTTTGATTGTTATTGTTTTGCTTTGTTTATGAGTTATTTATTGTTGTCGTTGTGTTTTATTGATGTATTTGGGCTCAGCATCTTGTAAGCCGCACCGGGTCCTGCGGGAGATGGTTGCGGGGTATAAATAAAGGTTTATTATTATTATATGGTGTGTTCAGGAACAAAGCAGCATAGCCAAAGGCTGCTTATTGCACAATGTTGTGGTCCGTTTGTGAGTGTGAGTTTCACCCTGTAGATGGAGAACTTCATCCAATACCTCAACGAGCCCACCGTCAACAACCAGATCTTCCCGCACGTGGTGCATGGGTTCCTGGACACCAACCCTGCCATCCGAGAGCAGACCGTGAAGGTAAAGGGGAATATAAGAAACATAAATAGTAGTAATAACAATAATAAAACTAACAATATTAATAATGTCTTAACATTAATAATCATCATCATATTATTAACATTAATAAAATTAATAATCATACTAGCTGTACCCGCCACGCGTTGCTGTGGCCAACCTTCCCCCTATCTCCCCTTCTTTCCCTCCTTCCTTCACTCCCTGTTTCCTTCCTTCCTTCCTGTCTTTCCTTCTCTCCTTCCTTCCTCTCTTCTCCTTTCCTTCCTTCCCCCTTTTTCTTTCTTTCTGCTTGTCTCTTTTCTTCCTTCTCTCTTTCCTTCTTTCCTTCCCTCCCTCTTTCTCTTCTTCTTCCCCCTCCTTCCTCCTTCTTTCCTTCCTTTCCCTTTTTTCTTTCCTTCTCTCCTTCCTTCTTTCTCCTCTTTTCCTTTCCCCCTTTTTCTTTCCCTTCCTCCTCTTTCCTCCTTTCTTCCTTTTCTCCCTTCCTTTCCTTCTTTCTTTCCCTCCCTCTTTCTCTCCTTCTGTTCTTTCTCTCGCTTCTTGGCAGAATGGGGTTGGACTGGATGGCCCATGAGGTCTCTTCCAACTCTTTGATTCTATGATTCTATGATTCTTCCTTGACAGATTAGAAGGGGGCGTGGCTTGGAGGTAACGTGAGGAGGGAGGAGGGGGAGGGGGGATGGGTTTAGAAGGGGGCGTGGCTTGGAGGTAACGTGAGGAGGGGGGAGGGGAGGGGGGATGGGTTTAGAAGGGGGCGTGGCTTGGAGGTAACGTGAGGAGGGGGGGGGGGAGGGGGGATGGGTTTAGAAGGGGGCGGCTTGGAGGTAATGTGAGGAGGTAGAGGGAGGGGGGATGGGTTTAGAAGGGGGCGTGGCTTGGAGTAACGTGAGGAGGGAGGAGGGGAGGGGGGATGGGTTCAGAAGGGGCGTGGCTTGGGGGTAACGTGAGGAGGGGAGGGGGGATGGGTTTAGAAGGGGGCGTGACTTGGAGGTAATGTGAGGAGGGTAAGAGGGAGGAGGGGAGGGGGGATGGGGGCGCGCGTGCGTGTGTGCCGCGCGGGGGGGAGAGGGGGCGCACACGCGCGCGTGTGTGCCGCGCCAGGGGAGTGAGGGGGCGCGCGGGCGCGCGTGCGTGTGCCGCACCGGAGGGGGGAGAGGGGGCGCGCGCGCGCGCGTGCCGCGCGCCGCGCCGGGGGGGAGGGGGCCGTGCGCGCGCGTGTGTGTGCCGCGCCGGGAGGGGGGGAGGGTGAGGGGCCATGTGTGTGCGCGCGCCAGGGAGTTTGCGCCAGTGCGCATGCTCAATTGCTTTGCCGTTTATTGTGGTTGTTGTTGTGTGTTTTTGATTTCTGAGTGGATTAGTTTGTACCTTGTTGGTTGCCCTTGGGGCATGGGAAGTTTGGTGGAGTTTTTGTGGAGGGGTTTTAGAGTTTTGTTTTCTCGTTGGACGCCAGTAGGAAATTTATATATATAGATGGTCATTATGTACAGAAGTTGATTATAAATTGTATGATTTTAACTGTATTTGTGTTTAGATTGGCTGCAGTAATGCTGGAGCGGCCTAAGTCAGAGGAGTGCGTTGCCATGGAGACGATGTAGGCTAGAGAGAGAAGTGGGAGGAGCTTAGAGGGGAGAGTTTGAAAAACGACAGTTAATGTTGAGTCAGGGTTTAGGTTTAGAGGAGTTAGGTTTTAGATTTAGAGGTGAGGAGTTAGAGTGAGGAGTTGAGAGAGAAGGAGAGGAAAAGGTGGCTGAGTGACTTGTGAAGCAAAGTTTCGAGGCTTTGGAAAGCCGGGTCTGGCTATTGAAAGTTTCTCTGGCTAGGGTAGCCGAAAGGGGGAAACATAGCCGGAATTCTTTAGTCCAAGGAGAGGCTAAAGAATAGCTTATTTAGAATTTGATCTAGGAAGGATCAAATAAGGGAAATATCCCTGTATTGATACTTTGTCTGAAGCAAGCGCTCTACGTCAGGAAGATACTGTGTTACTTTAAAGAATGAACTGTTAAAGTTACAAGTATTATTCCAAGTGCAACAAGGAAAAGTTACGTCTTGCAACCACATGCTGTGTACTTAATAAAATTGTTAACTTTTTTTTGAAGATTGCCTCAGCTCCGTCTATTCTGGGTACCAAGTGCCATTTCTCACAATATTACAACTTACCTCACGTGGTGGCAGAAACGCAGGGAAAAGTGACCAAATAGATCTATATTCTTATCTCCAGTCACGCTACAATACATATAGTGTAATTACTACTAAGTTATTACTATCTTAATAAAGGAGGAGGTGCGATTAAACAGCCTCCCTTCTAACTTGATGGTAAATTTGGTTCCTTTCAAATTGGTAACAACAATAATCATCCCTAGGCTCTCCTGCTCCTGCGCAAACATTAAAATATTAATAATAAATAATATTAGTTTTGATAATAATATAATATAAGTGAATAGAAGAATGAAGAAGAACGGTGAGTATGAACGAGTGAATGAACGGATTACGAGTGAATGTTACGAGTATATGTGATGATGAACTGAATGAGGAAGGACGGTGAGTATAAACGAGTGAATGAACGGATTACGAGTGAATGTTACGAGTATATGTGATGGTGAACTGAATGAAGAAGGACGGAGAGTATGAACGAGTGAATGAATGGAGTACAAGTGAATGTTATGAGTATATGTGATGAACTGAATGAGGAAGGGCGGTGAGTATGAACGAGTGAATGAACGGATTACGAGTGAATGTTACGAGTATATGTGATGATGAACTGAATGAGGAAGGACGGTGAGTATAAACGAGTGAATGAACGGATTACGAGTGAATGTTACGAGTATATGTGATGGTGAACTGAATGAAGAAGGACGGAGAGTATGAACGAGTGAATGAATGGAGTACAAGTGAATGTTATGAGTATATGTGATGAACTGAATGAGGAAGGGCGGTGAGTATGAACGAGTGAATGAACGGATTACGAGTGAATGTTACGAGTATATGTGATGATGAACTGAATGAGGAAGGACGGTGAGTATAAACGAGTGAATGAACGGATTACGAGTGAATGTTACGAGTATATGTGATGGATGAACTGAATGAGGAAGGACGGTGAGTATAAACGAGTGAATGAACGGATTACGAGTGAATGTTACGAGTATATGTGATGATGAACTGAATGAGGAAGGACGGTGAGTATAAACGAGTGAATGAACGGATTACGAGTGAATGTTACGAGTATATGTGATGATGAACAGAATGAGGAAGGACGGTGAGTATGAACGAGTGAATGAACGGATTACGAGTGAATGTTATGAGTATATGTGATGATGAACTGAATGAGGAAGGACGGAGAGTATGAACGAGTGAATGAACGGATTATGAGTGAATGTTATGAGTATATGTGATGATGAACTGAATGAAGAAGGACGGAGAGTATGAACGAGTGAATGAACGGATTACGAGTGAATGTTATGAGTATATGTGATGATGAACTGAATGAGGAAGGACGGAGAGTATGAACGAGTGAATGAACGGATTATGAGTGAATGTTATGAGTATATGTGATGATGAACTGAATGAAGAAGGACGGAGAGTATGAACGAGTGAATGAACGGATTACGAGTGAATGTTATGAGTATATGTGATGGTGAACTGAATGAAGAAGGACGGAGAGTATGAACGAGTGAATGAATGGAGTACGAGTGAATGTTATGAGTATATGTGATGAACTGAATGAGGAAGGGCGGTGAGTATGAACGAGTGAATGAACGGATTATGAGTGAATGTTACGAGTATATGTGATGATGAACAGAATGAGGAAGGATGGTGAGTATGAACGAGTGAATGAACGGATTACGAGTGAATGTTATGAGTATATGTAGTGATGAACAGAATGAAGGACGGTAAGTATGAACGAGTGAATGAACGGATTACGAGTGAATGTTACGAGTGAATGAACGGATTACGAGTGAATGTTACGAGTGAATGAACGGATTACGAGTGAATGTTACGAGTATATGTGACGAGTTACGAATGTGACGAATGTTACGAGTATAAGCCAGGCGACTGAGTGAGGGTTTGGATCGAATCGCCTTCTCTTCCCGTCCTGATCTTCTCGTTCTCCTCTTGCAGTCCATGCTGCTCCTGGCGCCCAAACTGAACGAGAGCAACCTCAACGTGGAGCTCATGAAGCACTTTGCGCGCCTCCAGGCCCGGGACGACCAAGGCCCCATCCGCTGCAACACCACCGTCTGCCTCGGCAAGATCGGCCCCTACCTCAGCGCCAACGTGAGCCAGCCAGGCTTTAGTCCGAACTTTAAAGGAAGGGGCATTGACGCTACGGAACAAATGCACATTTTAGATTGTTGTTTTTTTTTCCAAGACGCGGCAGAACGTCCTGATCTCCGCCTTCAGCCGGGCCACCAAGGACCCCTTTGCTCCCTCACGGGCGGCGGGGATTCTGGGCTTTGCAGCCACACACAACTTCTACTCCATGAAAGACTGTGCCTTCAAGATCTTGCCAGTGCTGTGCACCTTGACCCTGGATTCGGAGAAGACTGTCCGGGACCAGGTAGGAAAAGTGACGCCGCTGGGAGGATTTAGAGGCTGGATGGCCATCTGCCGGGAGGGGTTTGATTGTGTCTTCGTATCACACAGAATAATAATAATAATAATAATAATAATAATAATAATTATTATTATTATTATTATTATTATTTGGAGGGGTTTGGTTGTGTCATTGTACCTCACATAATAATAATAATAATAATAATAATAATAATAATAATAATAATAATATTTTGGAGAGATTTGGTTGTGTCATTGTACCTCACAGAATAATAATAATAATAATAATAATAATAATAATAATAGTAATAATAATAATATTTTGGAGGGATTTGGTTGTGTCATTGTACCTCGCAGAATAATAATAATAATAATAATAATAATAATAATAATAATAATAATATTTTGGAGGGATTTGGTTGTGTCATTGTACCTCGCAGAATAATAATAATAATAATAATAATAATAATAATAATAATAATAATATTTTGGAGGGACTTGGTTGTGTCATTGTTCCTGGCAGAATAATAATAATAATAATAATAATAATAATAATAATAATAATTTGGAGGGATTTGGTTGTGTCATTGTACCTTGCAGAATAATAATAATAATAATAATAATAATATTTTGGAGGGATTTGGTTGTGTCATTGTACCTCGCAGAACAATACTGCTACTAAAACTAATAATAATATTTTGGAGGGACTTGGTTGTGTCATTGTACTTTGCAGAATAATAATAATAATAATAATAATAATAATAATAATAATAATAATAATAAAATAAAAATAATAATTTGGAGGGACTTGGTTGTGTCATTGTACTTTGCAGAGCTTGGGAAGTGTTCAACTTTTGTGATACGATATCCAGCATATAGATCTCATCTGCTGTGACATACTGTGTTTTTGTGTCATTAAAATAATAATAATAATAATAATAATAATAATAATAGTAATAATAATATTTTGGAGGGATTTTGTTGCCTCATTGTACCTTGCAGAATAAATTAATAATAATAATAATAATAATAATAATAATAATAATAATAATAATTTGGAGGGATTTGATTGTGTCTTCCTATATCACAGTCCTAGACACTTGGGAAGTGTTCGACTTGTGATTTTGTGATACGAAATCCAGCATTTAGATCTCTTCTGCTGTGACATACTGTGCTTTTGTGTCAGTAAAATAATAATAATAATAATAATAATAATAATAATACATCACACAGTACTAGACCCTTGGGAAGTGTTCAACTTGTGATTTTGTGATACGAGATCCAGCATATAGATCTCGTTTGCTGTGACATACTCTGCTTTTGTGCTAGTAAAAGAATAATAATAATATTTTGAAGAGATTTAGTTGCATCATTGTACCTTGTATAATAATAATAATAATATTTTGGAGTGATTTGATTGTGTCTTCCTATATCACAGTCCTAGATGCTTGGGAAGTGTTCGACTTGTGATTTTGTGATACGAAATCCAGCATATAGGTCTTGTTGGCTGTGACGTACTGTTTTCGTGTCAATAAAAGAATTTTGCAAATAATAATGATGATTATTTCTAACCCACCTCTCCTCAAGGCGGGCCGCAGCGCAGTCAAAACACACAAGCACTGCAAAAATTCTTTAATAATAATAATAATAATAATAATAATAATAATAATAATATTTTGGAGGGATTTTGTTGCATTATTGTAATTTGCAGAATAATAATAATAATAATAATAATAATAATAATAATAATAATAATAATAATTTGGAGGGATTTGATTGTGTCTTCCTATATCACAGTCCTAGACGCTTGGGAAGTGTTCGACTTGTGATTTTGTGATATGAAATCCAGCATATAGATCTCATCTGCTATGACTTTTTGTGTCAGTAAAATAATAATAATAATAATAATAATAATAATAATAATAAATCACACAGTCCTAGATGCTTGGGAAGTGTTTGACTTATGATTTTCTGATACGAAATCCAGCATATAGATCTCGTCTGCTGTGACATACTGTTTTAGTGTAAATAAAAGAATTTTGCAAATAATAATAATGATGATTATTTCTAACCCATCTCTCCTCAAGGTGGGTCGCAGCATAGTCAAAAGACACAAGCATTGCAAAAATTCTTTAATAATAATAATATTAGTAATAATAATAATAGTAATAATAATAATAAGATTTTGTCTGCTGTAATGTACTGTTTTAATGTAAATAAAAGAATTTTGCAAATAATAATGATGATTATTTCTAACCCACCTCTCCTCAAGGCAGGCCGCAGCACAGTCAAAACACATAAGCATTGCAAAAATTCTTTAATAATAATAATAATAATAATAATAATAATAATAATAATATTAATATTTTGGAGGGATTTTGTTGCATCATTGTACTTTGCAGAATAATAGTAATAATAATAATAATAATAATAATAATAATAATAATAATAATATTTTTCTTTCTTGGCCACTGCTCTATAAGCACACATACTCAACGATACCTCTCTAAAACATACATATCAGAACCTATTCCTATAATATACATATAATATACATAGGGGAGGGGGCTAGACTAGCTGTCCTTTGGGCGTCCCCTTCCAACTCTAGGATTGTATCCTTTCTTGGGTTCTTTTTCACGTCTTTGCGCCACCTTCTTAGGCTTTCAAGGCCATCCGGAGCTTCATGACCAAACTGGAGAAAGTTTCCGAAGACCCGGAGCAGCTCTCCGAGCTTGGTGAGACGTCCTTGGCGAGATTGTGGGAGGGACACATTGGTGGAAGACCAACCTTGGCTCAGGATGAAGCCAATCTTCATAGGAGGGGGAAAAAATTCTGGATGGGCATCTGTCATTAGGGGTTTGGTTGTGTCTTCCCACCTGTCTCCAAACCCTCGGAACCAATGCTTGGTGGGTTTGTTTATCTTTCAAGAAAAGGACGTCAACTCCATTTCGGCCAGTCCAGGAGCCGGGGCCAGTTGGGCGGGTTGGGCCGTGACGGGGGTCTCGTCGCTCACCTCGAAGCTGATCCGGACGAATGCGGGGACGGCGCCGGCGGCGGAATCGGGAACAGAGGGGGCCCCGGCCACCGCAGAGCCCCTCAAATCAGGTAAAAGGACCCCAAGGGCCATAGGAATGTCCTGGAGAGCCACCTAGAACGCCAGAGCTTGACTTGTTTTTCCACTTCCTCCATTCCTGTTATTGTTGGAAGGGGTTGGACACCCTCCGCCCTCTCCGTCTCCAGCAGCTCCGGCCTCATCGAGTGGTTGGGACCTTGAGGAGGAAGCGGCCGAAGAGGACAGCACCGGTGACCGATGGGATGACGAAGACTGGGGCAGCTTGGAGGTAAAAAGGGAGAAGTCTTCACTACCAGCCCTGGTAATCGTTCTCCTCAATGTCCATCATGATGTCATGGGGGTCTTCATTGGCTGTTTGAGTGGAGTAGATATCATCAGTGTCCATCATAGATTCATGGTTCTCAGTGTCCATCATGTCGTGGGGGTCTTCATTGGCTGTTTGAGTGGAGTAGATATCGTGAGTGTCCAACATACATTCATGGTTCTCCTCAGTGTCCATCATTATGTCGTGGTTGTTTTCATTGGCTGTTTGAGTGGAGTAGATATTGTGAATGTCCATCATACATTCATGGTTCTCCCCAGTGTCCATCATGATGTCGTGGAGGTCTTCATTGGCTGTTTGAGTGGAGTAGATATCGTGAGTGTCCATCATAGACTCATGGTTCTCCTCAGTGTCCATCATGATATCATGGTTGTTTTCATTGGCTGTTTGAGTGGAGTAGATATCGTGAGTGTCCATCATAGATTCATGGTTGCCCTCAGTGTCCATCATTATGTCATGGTTGTTTTCATTGGCTGTTTGAGTGGAGTAGATATCGTGAATGTCCATCATAGATTCATAGTTCTCCTCAGTGTCCATCATGATCTCACGAGGATCTTCATTGGTTGTTTGAGTGGAGTAGATATCGTGAGTGTCCATCATAGACTCATGGTTCTCCTCAATGTCCATCACGATGTCATGGGGGTCTTCATTGGCTATTTGAGTGGAGTAGATATCGTGAGTGTCCATCATAGACTCATGGTTCTCTCAGTGTCCATCGTTATGTCATGGTTGTTTTCATTGGCCCTTTGAGTGGAGTAGATATTGTGAGTGTCCATCATAGATTCATGGTTCTCCTCAGAGTCCATCGTTCTGTCATGGTTGTTTTCATTGGCTCTTTGAGTGGAGTATGTGATTTATTATTATTATTATTATTATTATTATTATTTTACTGACACAAAAACACAGTATGTCACAGCAAACGAGATCTATATGCTGGATTTTGTATCACAAAATCACAAGTCGAACACTTCCCAAGCATCTAGGACTGTGTGATGTATTATTATTATTATTATTAGTAGTAGTAGTAGTAGTAGTAATAGTAGTAGTAGTATTCTCTACCCTTTGACACCTGGCCTCCCATTAACCTTTATTGTTATATTACATTATTATTATTATTATTATTATTATTATTTCTTACCCTTTGACACCTGGCCTCCTATTAACCCTAATTATTATTATATTATATTGTATTATTATTATTTTACTGATACAAAACCACAGTATGTCACAGCAAACAAGATCTCTGTGTTGGACTTTGTATCACAAAATCACAAGTACAACACTTCCCAAGTGTCTAGGACTGTGTGATGTATTGTTGTTATTATTATTATTATTATTATTATTATTATTATTATTATTATTATTATTTTACTGACACAAAAACCTGGTCTATATAAGTAATAAACCTGTCATATGACATATTAAAAGTTTCAACAACAATAACATAATACTTTGTGTATCTTGTTGGTATTGCCTCCATTATTATTATTATTGTTATTATTATTATTATTATTATTCTCTCCACAGCAAGAAGCGGAGCAGTCAAAGAGGCAATCCAGTCCGGAAGACTGGAACAGCCCAGGATGGTCGGAGCCAGTCTCTTTGGCCAGGAAACCTGAAGGCCGGACGGTGAGTCTGAGCCGAACCTCCAGGGGCTTAAATCCCAAACTGTCCTGTTTTGGGAACTCTGTCTCTTCTGTTGCGAATGGGAGCTCTGCCTCTTCTGTTGCGAATGGGAGCTCTGCCTCTTCTGTTGCGAATGGGAGGTCTGCCTCTTCTGTTGCGAGTGGGAGCTCTGCCTCTTCTGTGCGAGTGGGAGCTCTGCCTCTTCTGTTGCGAATGGGAGCTCTGCCTCTTCTGTTGCGAATGGGAACTCTGCCTCTTCTGTGTAAATGGGAGCTCTGCCTCTTCTGTTGCGAATGGGAACTCTACCTCTTCTGTTGCGAATGGGAGCTCTGCCTCTTCTGTTGTGAATGGGAACTCTGCCTCTTCTGTGCGAATGGGAGCTCTGCCTCTTCTGTTGCGAATGGGAACTCTGCCTCTTCTTTGCGAATGGGAGCTCTGCCTCTTCTGTGTGAATGGGAACTCTGCCTCTTCTGTGCGAATGGGAGCTCTGCCTCTTCTGTGTGAATGGGAACTCTGCCTCTTCTGTGCGAATGGGAGCTCTGCCTCTTCTGTGTGAATGGGAACTCTGCCTCTTCTGTGTGAATGGGAGCTCTGCCTCTTCTGTGTGAATGGGAGCTCTGCCTCTTCTGTTGCGAATGGGAACTCTGCCTCTTCTTTGCGAATGGGAGCTCTGCCTCTTCTGTTGCGAATGGGAACTCTGCCTCTTCTTTGCGAATGGGAGCTCTGCCTCTTCTGTGTGAATGGGAACTCTGCCTCTTCTGTGCGAATGGGAGCTCTGCCTCTTCTGTGTGAATGGGAACTCTGCCTCTTCTGTGTGAATGGGAACTCTGCCTCTTCTGTGTGAATGGGAGCTCTGCCTCTTCTGTTGTGAATGGGAACTCTGCCTCTTCTGTTGCGAATGGGAGCTCTGCCTCTTCTGTTGTGAATGGGAACTCTGCCTCTTCTGTGCGAATGGGAGCTCTGCCTCTTCTGTTGCGAATGGGAACTCTACCTCTTCTGTGCGAATGGGAGCTCTGCCTCTTCTGTTGTGAATGGGAACTCTGCCTCTTCTGTTGCGAATGGGAACTCTGCCTCTTCTGTGCGAATAGGAGCTCTGCCTCTTCTGTTGCGAATGGGAACTCTGCCTCTTCTGTTGCGAATGGGAGCTCTGCCTCTTCTGTTGCGAATGGGAGCTCTGCCTCTTCTGTTGCGAATGGGAACTCTGCCTCTTCTGTTGCGAATGGGAACTCTGCCTCTTCTGTGCGAATAGGAGCTCTGCCTCTTCTGTTGCGAATGGGAACTCTGCCTCTTCTGTTGCGAATGGGAGCTCTGCCTCTTCTGTTGCGAATGAGAACTCTGCTTCTTCTGTTGCGAATGGATGTTGCTTATCACCCCTTTCATCCTTGGCAGGCGGCTACCTCCTCAAAGCCGGAGTCCGACTGGGGCGCCTCGGCCTGGGACATGGAGCCTTCGTGGGGGCGCAAAAAGGCAGAGGGGGCTGCAAAGCCCACCGTCTGTCCGCCGGAGGGGACCAAGCTAGCCAGTGAGTACAACTGGGAGAGTGTCCCGGCCGCGGACAAGCCGGACCCGTTCTCCTCCCTCGCAGAGAGGCCAACGACAGAGAGACAGGTGGGTACATCATCATCATCATTATTATTATTATTATTATTATTATTTTTAGTTTGGGGACCCAGCGGTGCCCGGGTCATTTGAGAAAGGCATTGCTTGTCTTTGCTTCAGATACAGTCTAGATCCACTGTCAGCTGGTTCAGAGAGTGTGGGTGAACTACAACTCCCATATGTAAGTCCCATTGTTGATGGTCCATTGATCCTCCAAACTGCACCAAGATGTAAAGTGGGTCATGGGGGTTCTGTGTGCCAGGTTTGGTCTTGACTGGCGTGGGTCACGGTGGTCTCAGGAAGTGAGTGAAGGTATTGATTTATTGAGTGAAGGTGTTTTATTGATTATTATTATTGGTTTTATAGTATATATTAATATTTTTAATTGTATTTATGATATTGTGGGCATTGAATTGTTGCCTGAAAACCGCCTTGAGTCACCTGAAATATGTTTTCTGATGGTCTTTGGTGACCCCTCTGACACCCACTCGCAACCCCTCCTGGAGCCGCGACCCCCAAGTTGAGAAACACTGATCTAGGGCCTTTTGGGGGATTTATGATGTTTATTTATTTATTTATTTACGACATTTATATGCTGCCCTTCTCACCCTGAAGGGGACTTAGAGCACCTATATATATATATATACACACACACATACATACATACATACACACATATACATACAATATATTATTAACATAGTACAATATCAGTATTAAACGTTACTGTATTGTACTATACCATTATATTGTAATATTATTAGTCATATTACATATAATATAAATATATAATTATAATATCATATTATTATTAGTATTATATTGCATTACATTATATGTTATAAATATATGTGTATACAACATAGAGATGTATATATGTTGTAACTTAGACCCGATGTACATGGGCAGAATTGTTAGGTTCTCGTATTCCGAGCAATGAAGATGCATGGCAACTTTAGCCGCTGTGTCTCTTGCCGTCTTCTTTCCACCGAAGACTAAACCTGTAGCAACAAAGTTGGAGCTACGGAAAAGCACAAGCAAAACACCCCTGACAGATGTGCATGCAGCCTCTCTTTATGTCTCTGTGGAAGGCAGGAGTGAGGGATCAAAGAAGCAGAACTCTCTCTCCCTGAAGCCTTCTGTGGAGTTCCACAACCAAATCCTCCCAATTTACCCTCTTCCCTCCATATCATTTCAGCGAAACACAGATGCCTTTGGAGATTGGGGCCTGGAGGAGAATTGGGAAGCGCTGGAGTCGGACCAAGGTAAGAGCATCCTGTTAGAAATGGCACGGCATTTTGAGTCATAGAAAAATACTGATTGATGACCATGCGGTACATTAATAATAATAATAATAATATCTATATATATAAATCTGAAAGTGGCGTCGAACGGGACAGCAAAACTCAAAACCCCCCCAACGAAAATTAACCAAAATTCCCATGCACCTACCACAACCCACAAGGTACAAACAAATTGAATCAAAGTAAAAAACAACACAACAACACACTCACAAAACGACAAAACAACTGAGCATTCGCAATGGCACCCAGCCTGCCGGCCACTGCTCCCTCCGTGCAAGCCACGCCCCCAACCTCCCGCCGCGCCGCTTCCCGCCCTGTCAAAACCATCCCTCCTCCCCCTCCTTCATCTAACCCAGCCCAGCCCTCCGGTAAGACACACGCTTCCTTCTTCCCCCACCCCTTCCCTCCCTCAGTCAATCCTCCTCCTCCCACCCCCTCCAGTAAGACACGCCCCCTTCCTTCCCCGCGGCGGGCCCAATCAAGGAAGAGGAAAAACATCGAAGGAAGGAAGGAAACAGAGAAGGAAACATGGAAGCAAAGAGTGAAGGAAAGAAGGAAAGAGGTAGAGAAGGAAGAAAAGAGAGAAAGAGGAAATGAAGAGGGATGGAAAGAAATGGGTAGAGAAAGAAGGAAGGAGATAAGGAAAGAAAAGGAAGGAAAGAGGAGCGAAGGAAGAAGAGAATGAAAGAGAAAGAGGGGGGAAGGAAGGACAGACAAAAGGAAGAATGGAAACAAAAACCAAAGGAAGGAAGGAAGGAAAGAGGCAGAGAAGGAAGAAACAGAAAGAGAAGGAAAAGAAAAAAGGAAGAAGGAAAGAGGAAGAGAAGGAAGGAGGGAAGGACAGAAAAGGAAGGAAAGAGGAGCAAAGGAAGAAGAGAAAGAAAGAGAAAGAGGGGGGAAGGAAGGAAAGACAAAAGGAAGAATGGAAACAAAAACTACAGGAAGGAAGAAAGGAAAGAGGCAGAGAAGGAAGAGAAAGGGAAGGAAAAGAAAAAAGGAAGAAGGAAAGAGGAAGAGAAGGAACGAAGGAGAGGACAGAAAAGGAAGGAAGGAGGAGCAAAGGAAGAAGAGAAAGAAAGAGAAAGAGGGGGGAAGGAAGGAAGGAAAGAGAAAAGGAAGAATGGAAACAAAAACCACAGGAAGGAAGAAAGGAAAGAGGCAGAGAAGGAAGAAAGAAAGGGAAGGAAAAGAAAAAAGGAAGAAGGAAAGAGGAAGAGAAGGAAGGAAGGAGAGAAGGAAAGAAGAAAAGGGAATGAGGGAAAGAAGGAGAGAAAGAGGGAGGTAAGGTGGGCCACAGCAACGCATGGCAGGGAAAGGGGAGGTAGGACTCCCAAGACCCAACATAAAGCACAAGAAGGGTTTGGTAAGCAATGGGAAGGAAGAAAGGAAGGAGGGAAGGCAGGAAAGAAAGAGGTACCGAAGGAAGGAAGAAGAGAAAGTAGAAAGGAAAGAAAAATAAAAGGAAGGAAAGGCAGGAAAGAGGTAAAGAAGGAAGGAGAAAAGGAAATAAAAAATGAAAGAAGGAAGGAAACATGGAGGGAAGAAAGGAGGCAAAGGAAGAAAGGGGGAGGGAATGAAGGAAAGAGAGAAGGATGAAACCAAGGAGCGAAAGAAGGAAAGAAAGAAAGAAAGAAAGAGGTAGAGAAGGAAGAAAGGAGAGAAAGGGGGAGAAAAAGGGGAAAGGAATAGGTAGGTACCTCTCTTTTGTAATAGTCCTGATATCTACCTCTACTTTGAAAAGATTTACTATAGGCCACAGCAACGCGTGGCAGGGTACAGTTAGTAATAATAATAATAATAATAATAATAATAATAATAATAATAATAATAAAACTTTATTTGTACCCCGCTACCATCTCCCAAGGGACTCGGTGCAGCTTACATGAGGCCGAGCCCACAATACAAGAATAAACAATAACAGCAATAAAACCAAAACAATACATAAACTCATAAGCAAAATAAGCAAAATCAACATTAACAATAACACAACGCATTTAAAAACCTGGCCCCCTGAAGTCACAATGTGCGATGGTGGTGGGAGCGTGAGCGGGGCCTCTCCAGATGATCGAAGAGAAACTGAGAAGAGGGGGGAGTTGGGCAGGAAGGGTGTCTAAAAGGAAGCGGTGGTGGGAAAAAGTCAGGAGTGTCTTTCTTTGCTGCAGAGATACAAGCAATAGATCCATTTCAAAGCAAAAACGGCTTGTGAGTGGTCATTTAATATTGCTATAGAAGCAGATGGTGGAAACAGAAGAACGGCCTGCCTCAGGGGAGCGTGCTTGCTCCATCCATGTTCAACATCTACACAAATGACCAGCCACTGCCAGAAGGGACAGAGAGTTTCATCTATGCTGATGATCGTGCCATCACCGCTCAAGCAGGGAGCTTTGAGATGGTTGAACAGAAGCTCTCCGAAGCTCTAGGTGCTCTTACTGCCTATTACAGGGAAAACCAGCTGATCCCTAACCCATCTAAAACACAGACATGCGCCTTTCACCTCAAGAACAGACAAGCATCCCGAGCTCTGAGGATTACCTGGGAAGGAATCCCACTGGAGCATTGCAGCGCACCCAAATACCTGGGAGTCACTCTGGACCGTGCTCTTACCTACAAGAAGCACTGCCTGAACATCAAGCAAATAGTGGGTGCTAGAAACAATATCATACGAAAGCTGACTGGCACAACCTGGGGATCACAACCAGACACAGTGAAGACATCTGCCCTTGCGCTGTGCTACTCTGCTGCTGAGTATGCATGCCCAGTGTGGAACACATCTCACCACACTAAAACAGTGGATGTGGCTCTGAATGAGATATGGAGTGTCTGCGCCCTACACCACTGGAGAAATGACACTGCTTAGCCGGTATTGCACCACCTGACATCCGCCGGGAAGTAGCAGCCAATAGTGAAAGGACCAAGGCAGAGACATCTCCAGCTCATCCCCTGTTTGGGTATCAGCCAGCACGTCAACGACTTAAATCAAGACATAGTTTTCTTAGATCTACAGAGACACTCGCTGGAACACCCCAGCAAGCGAGAGTCCAAAAGTGGCAGGCCCAAACCCAGCACCTCAATCCATGGGTGATACCAGATGAGAGACTCCCCCCTGGGCACACAGAAGACTGGGCGACTTGGAAGGCGCTGAACAGACTGCGCTCTGGCACCACGAGATGCAGAGCCAACCTCAAGAAATGGGGCCACAAAGTGGAATCCTCGACATGCGAGTGTGGAAAGGAGCAAACCACTGACCACCTGCTGCAATGCAACCTGAGCCCTGCCACATGCACCGTGGAGGACCTTCTTGCGGCAACACCAGAGGCACTCCAAAGGGCCAGATACTGGTCAAAGGACATTTAACCAACTACCAAATTTGCAAAATCTGTGTTTTGTTTTTCTTTTTCTTTTTAATCTGTGTGTTTGTTTTGCTCTGCTAGAACTGTAATACAATGGTATGGTTGCTGATGACACGATAAATAAATAAATAAATATTGCTATATAGATCCTACAGTCTTACACTCAGCATGAGTATCTGCCTCTGTTGTACGTGACTCTGATTGTAAAGCCTGTAAAACTCACAGCAACCCAGGAATTCTGGCCATGAAAGCCTTCAACAACATACTGAATCTACGAATTTACTAAACAGTGTGCAGATAAGGTCAGATGCTAGCAGTTGGACTCCATAGAGAGCTGGACAGGGGGAGTGTGACCTTGTTGGTTCTCTTGGACATCTCAGCAGCTTTCGATACCATCGATCATGGTATCCTTCTGGGACGACTCTCCGGGATGGGTCTCGGGGGCACGGTTTTGTCGTGGCTCCGATCCTTCCTGGAGGGTCGCTCAGTTTGTGAAGCTGGGAGACGCCTGCTCGGACCCCTGGCCTTTGACCTGTGGGGTCCCGCAAGGCTCAATTCGTCTCCCATGCTTTTTAACATCTACATGAAACCGCTGGGAGAGGTCATCCAGAGTTTTGGAGTTGGGTGCCATCTCTACGCAGATGACACACAACTCTACTACTCATTTCCACCTAATTCCAAGGAGGCCTCTCGGGTGCTGGACGAGTGCTTGGCCGCTGTGTCTATCTGGATGAGGAGGAACAAGCTGAAGATCAATCCCGACAAGACAGAGGTCCTCCTGATCGATTGTAAACCGGATCGGGGTATAGGGTGGCAACCTGTGCTGGACGGGGTTACACTCCCCCTGAAGCCACAGGTCCGCAGTTTGGGAGTCCTCTTGGACTCATCGCTTACGCTTGAGGCTCAGGCGTCGGTGGTGTCTGGGAGGGCCTTTTGCACAACTGAGACTCGTGCGCCAACTGCGACCGTACCTCGCGAAGGCTGATCTGGCCGGGGTGGTCCATGCCTTGGTCACCTCCAGATTGGACTACTGCAATGCGCTCTACGTGGGGCTGCCCTTGAAAACAGCTCGGAAATTCCAACTGGTCCAGGATGTTAACTGGCGCTCCTTACAGAGAGAGGTCAACCCTCCTGTTTAAGGAGCTCCATTGGCTGCCATTTACCTACCGAGCCCAATTCAAGGTGCAGGTACTTACCTACAAAGGCCTGAACGGTTTGGGACCTGCCTACCTGCGTGACCGCATCTCCGTTTACGAACCCACACGCTCCCTCCGTTCATCCGGAGAGGCCCTGCTCGCGATCCCGCCTGCATCACAGGCGCGTTTGGTGGGGATGAGGGACAGGGCCTTCTCTGTGGTTGCCCCCCGACTCTGGAACACCCTCCCCAAAGACATTAGACTGGCACCCACGTTGGCAGTCTTCAGGAAGAATCTGAAGACCTGGCTATTCCGATGTGCCTTTCCGGAATAGGATAACCTCCAGCACTACGTCCCAGAAGCACTTTATTAGAGTTTAAGACTCTCTGCACATTGCACTTGCCCGGAAATCCAACATACCACCTGCCACACCCAGCACTTTTTAACCTGTACCCATCACTGGCCCGGCCCTGGTTTTTATTGCGTAATGATGTAATGTTTTGTTATTGCTTATGTTTTAATTTGCTTTAAATTGTATTGTTATTGTTTTGCTGTTGTTGTGTTGAGGCCTTGGCCTTTGTAAGCCGCATCGAGTCCTGCAGGAGATGCTAGCGGGGTACAAATAAAGTTTAATAATAATAATAATAATAATAATAATAATAATAGATGGGCGGAAGCGTGTTTTCTCTGTGAAAGGAGTGTGAAAAGAAGCAAGGGAGCGGGGGGATGATTTATTGTTGCCACCAATTTGAAAGGACCCAGTATTCAGGAGATTTTACCCCAGTTCCCAATTTTAAAAAGAACTAGCCGATTTGCAATGGAGGTTGCCGATTAGGAACCAAATTTACCATCAAGTTGGAAGGGAGGCTGTTCAATTGCACCTCCTCCTTTATTAAGAAAGTAATAACTTAGTAGTAATTACACTGTATATAATGTAGCGCGACTGGAGAGAAGAATGTAGATTTATTTGGTTACTTTCCCCTGCGTTTCTGCCACCACGTGAGGTAAGTTGTAATATTGTGAGAAATGGCACTTTGGACACAGAATAGACGGAGCTGAGGCAATCTTCAAATAAAAGTTAACAATTTTATTAAGTACACAGCGTGTGGTTGCAAGACGTAACTTTTCCTTGTTGCACTTGGAATAATACTTGTAACTTTAACAGTTCATTCTTTCAAGTAACACAGTATCTTTCTGACGTAGAGCACTTGTTTCAGACAAAGTTTCCATACAGGGATGTTTCCCTTATTTGATCCTCCCTAGATCAAATACTAAGTAAACTATTCTTTAGCCTCTCCTTAGACTAAAAGAATACCAGCTATGTTTCACCATTCGGCTGCACTAGCCTGAGAAACTTCCAATAGCCAAACCCAGCTTTTCAAAGCCTCAAAGCTTTGCTTCACAAGTCACTCCGCCACCTTTCCTTTCCTTCTCTCCCAACTCCTCACTCCTCTGAACCTAACTCCTCTAAACCTAAACCCTAACTGATTTTTAACTGTCGTTTTTTCAAACTCTCCCCTCTAAGCTCCTCCCACTTCCCTCTCTCCTGCATCGGTCTCCATGGCAACGCACATGGAGGACTCCTCTGACTTAGGCCGCTCCAGCATGACTGCAGCCAATCTAAACACAAATACAGTTAAAATCATACAATTTATAATCAACTCCTGTACAGAGTGCTTGATTCTGGTGTTTTTCAAATACTGGTAACCAGAGAAATGCTACTGGAAGCATCCATCTTCCTCTCTACTGTGTGACTCAGCATGAGTATCTGCCTATGTTGTATGTGACTGTGATGACTGTAAAACTTTGTATTCTGCTTGCTTCTGGGACACTTGCTATCCAGAGCGCAGTTCATTCACGAACCCATCTCGCGACACATTCAGCGCCATCTTTCTTCCCTTTCTTGGGGGGCACAATGTGCAGCAGCCCCTCCATGATAACGGATATCTCTCTCTCTTTTATGTCCGTAGGGCCTAGCAAAGCGGAATTGGCACGAAAGAAGCGGGAGGAGCGGCGGCAAGAGATGGAAGCCAAGCGGGCCGAAAGGAAAGCGGCCAAAGGACCCTTGAAACTGGGAGCCAGGAAACTGGACTGATTCCCCTCTTCTTGGGAAAGAGACTAGATGCTCTCACGGAGCGGCAAAGGAGGTCCAAGAGACTAGGGATTTCTTTCTTCGGGAATGGACAAAGCACGCTGCAATCACCCTTCGCGTCTTCCTTTCAGCCCGGATCTTGCCCGCAAAGCATTGGCCGAATCCCTCCCTGCAGTAAGGCTTGAATCCCAGGTGCCTTCAAGAAGAAGGTGGGGGGGTCGATGTAAGCGCCGGACGCCTATCCACAGAGGAGGATTTGGCTGGGACAGGAATCGAGACATGTTTTTATTTGTTGTGGTTTCGCTTATTAACCACAGCTTGGTCGGGAGTGTACGTATCCCCTGCGGATATTGTGGGGATGGATTTTTTTCACTATCCACAGAGGAGGATTTGGCTGGGACAGGAATCGAGACATGTTTTCATTTGTTGTGGTTTCGCTTATTAACCACAGCTTGGTCGGGATTGTACGTATCCTCTGCGGATATTGTGGGGGGATTTTTTTTTTCGCTGTAGTTGTCACTGTACAGTTGCACGTTGTGGGTCAGATATGTGTACGTCCGCCATTTTTATTTTTTATTTTTTTTGCCTGTTTTATTGGTCAATGCGGAAGCCGACAAATAAATTAACTCTTTAATGAAAGGCTGGTGGGACCTGGCGGCCCTTTGGCAAGAGAGGGAGGGATGTGTCGCTCGAATCCTAGAGTTGGAAGGGACCCACAGAGGTCATCTAGTCCATCTCTTTGCCACGCGGATGCCTGAAACGGACCGCTGAGGCAGTCCTATTCCTATAAACGTAGTCCGCCCCAATGTTTCAGTGGAATCTCTTCTTGAGCGGTGATGGCATGATCGTCGGCATAGATGAAACTATGGAAGGAGAAAGGGGGACAGGAAGAGAAGAAATAAAGAGGGAAGGAAGAAAGGGATGAAAGAAGGGGGAAGGAAGGAAGGAGGAGGGAGAAAAAGGGAGAGAGGGAAGGAATGAAAGAAGGAAGGAGAGGGGGAGAGAAGAAAAGAAGGAAGAGGGAGAAGGGAGGAAAGAAAGAAGAAGGAGAGAGAGAAAGAAAGGAGAAGGAGAAAGGGGAAGGAAGAGAAAAGAGGGAAGGAGAAAGGGAAAAAGGGGAGGAAGAAAGGAGGAAGGAGAAAAGGGAGAGAAGGAAGGAAGGAAGGAAGGAAGGAGAGGGGGGAAGGAAGAAGAAAAGGAGAAGGAGGGAAGAAAGAAAAGAGAAGGAAGGAAAAGGAAGGAAGAAAGGAGAAAAAGGGGAAGGAAAGGAAAAAAGGGGAAGGAAGGAAAGAGGGAGAAGAAAGAAGAAGAAGGAAGGAGGGAGGGAAGAAATAAGACAGGGAGGGAGGAAGGAGAAAGGGGAGAGGAAGAGAAGAAATAAAGAGGGAAGGAAGAAAGGGATGAAAGAAGGGGAGGGAAGGAAGGAAGGAGAAAAAGGGAGAGAGGGAAGGAAGGCAAGAAGGAAGGAGAGGGAGGGAGAGAAGAAATGAAGGAGAAAGGAGAGAAGTAAGAAGCCAGGGAGGAAGAAGGAGGAAGGAGAAAAAGGGAGAGGAAGAATAAAGAAAGGAAGAAAGGGATGAAAGAAGGGGGAGGAAGGAAGATTGAAGGAAAGGGAGGAAGGAAGAAAGAAAGGGAGGGAAGAAGGAAGAAGGAAGGAAGGAAGGAGAGGCAAGGAAGGAAGGAGAAGGGAGAAAAAAGAAGAAGAGGGAGGGAAGAAAGAAAGGGAGGGGGAAGAAGGAGGAAGGAAGGAAGGAAGGAGAAAGGGAGACAGGGAGAGAAGAAATAAAGAGGGATAAAGGAGGGAAGAAAGAAATAAGACAGGGAGGAAGGGAAGGAAGGAAGGAAGGAGAAAAGGAGAGAGGGAAGGAATGAAAGATGGAAGGAGAGGGAGGGAGAAAAGAAATGAAGAAGGAAGGAGGGAGAGAGGGAAGAAAGAAAGAAGATAGGAAGAGAAGGAAGGAGAAAGGGGGACAGGAAGAGAAAAATAAAGAGGGAAGGAAGAAAGGGATGAAAGAAGGGGGGGAAGGAAGGAAGGAGAAAAAGGGAGAGAAGGAAGGAATGCAAGAAGGAAGGAGAGGGAGGGAGAGAAGAAATGAGAAAAGGGGAAGAGGGAAGAAAGAAATAAGACAGGGAGGAGAGAAAGAAGGAAGGAGGAGAAAGGGAGAAGGAGAGAGAAATAAAAGGAAGAAAGGAGGAAGAAAGAAATAAGAGGGAGGAAGGGGAAGGGAGGAAGGAAGAGAAGGAAAAAGGAGAGGGAAGGAATGAAAGATGGAAGGAGAGGGAGGGAAAAGAAATGAAGAAGGAAGGAGGGAGAGAGAGAAGAAAGAAAGAAGAAAGGGAGGGAGAGAAGGAAGGAGAAAGGGGGACAGGAAGAGAAGAAATAAAGAGTGAAGGAAGAAAGGGATGAAAGAAGGGAGGGAAGGAAGGAAGATTGAAGGAAAGGGAGGAAAGGAAGAAAGAAAGGGAGGGAAGAATGGAAGGAAGGAAGGAAGGAAGGAAGGAAGGAAGGAAGGAAGGAGAAACCCTAACATGACCCCAGTTGGGGACGGAGCCTTCGACGGACTACAAACCCCACAATTCCCCCGCACCATGGACCCCGGTTTCCCGACTTCTTCTATCCAAACAGAGTTCTACTTTGAACTGGAGTATATGGATCTATCTACACTGCCATATAATCCAGTTCGAAGCAGATAATCCGGATTTTTATATGGTCCGTGTTGGGGTCAGAATAAACCACAAATCACGCCACGCATGTGTGATGATAACTATAATTCACAGGAAAGCAACAAAGCACGGTTATGCAAGGATCGCAAGTGTGAGGATTCGAATTCGGAAAACGGGAACAGCATTCGTAATTTTTTTTTTTTCGGGATCTCTCCGGCTATTGCTGGATGACCGATCCGTAGTCGGCGGCTTCGTAGACGGTGACGTGCAGCCGTCCGGGTGCCTGGCTGGGAGGATACGGTTCGGCAAGGATGACCTCACCGAGAGCGCAACGCCGGGTCCGGACTTCGCGGAGGAAGGCCTCCAGTTCGTACTCCATGCGGGCCAGCTTCCGGGCGTACGAACGGCGGGCTTGGGTCAACACCGGCGGGCGAGATCCACACCGAGGCTTCGGGCTAGTCGTGGTCAGCGCTGGGTTGGCAGACACCGGGCAAGCGGCCTTTCCGTCCTGCGGGCCTGGACCACAGCTGCTCTGTTTTTGGGACAAAACAAAAGAAACGTCCACTAGATTTTCTGTTTTCCTCCACCACAGACACCCCAGTACTCCGTAGACACCAAACTCCTTCAATTCAATGACATTGGAAATTATAGAGAGCGCCGTGAACACGTCCACCACACACACGACACTGCCCACCACCCAAGGGAAGGATTTCAGAATGGGATAGAAATTGCTCTAAGAGCTTCCATGTACATGGGTCAGGGAACCCGCTCCGGTTTTTAGTCCGAACTACAATGAACATGACCCTAAGTATACAGGACATAGAAACGACCCTAAGAGCTTCCATGTACCTGGGGCAGTGAATCCGGTTTGGGTTTTAGTCCGAACTACAATAGAAATCCCACTAAGAGCTTCCGTGTACATGGGGCAGGGAATCCGCTCCGAGTTTTAGTCCGAACTACAATAGAAATTGCCTTAGGTCCTTCCATGTATGCGGGGCAGGGTTTGGGTTTTAGTCCGAACTACTATAGAACTGAGACTAAGAGCTTCCATGTACCTGGGGCAGTGAATCCGCTCTGGGTTTTAGTCCGAACTACAATAGAAATCCCACTAGAGCTTCCATGTACATGGGGCAGGGAACCCCGCTCCGGTTTTTAGTCCGAACTACGATGGGCATGACCCTAAGTATACAGGGCAAAGAACCGACCCTAAGAGCTTCCATGTACCTGGGGCAGTGAATCCGGTTTGGGTTTTAGCCCGAACTGGAATAGAAATTGCTCAAAGAGCTTCCATGTACATGGGGCAGGGAACCCGCTCCGAGTTTTTAGTCTGAACTATAATAGAAATTACCTTAGGTCCTTCCATGTATGCGGGGCAGTGAATCCGCTCTGGGTTTTAGTCTGAACTGGAATAGAAATTACTCTAAGAACTTCCATGTACATGGGGCAGGGAATCTGGTTTGGGTTTTAGTCCGAACTACAATAGAAATTACCTTAGGTCCTTTCATGTATGCGGGGCAGTGAATCTGCTCTGGGTTTTAGTCCGAACTGGAATAGAAATTACTCTTAAGAGCTTCCATGTACATGGGGCAGGGAATCCGGTTTGGGTTTTAGTCTGAACTACAATAGAAATTACCTTAGGTCCTTCCATGTACATGGGGCAGGGAACCCCGCTCCGGTTTTTAGTCCGAACTACGATGAACATGACCCTAAGTATAATCCGAACCACAATAGAACTGACCCTTAGAGTTTCCATGTATACGGGGAAGGCAATCCGCTCCGGTTTTTAGTCCGAACTATAAAGTAACGCCATTCCAAGCTCACCTCGTTGTGCTCGTCGTGCCCCTCTTCCACCGCTGGCGCGCAGATGCCCATCTTGGCGCACAGCCATTGCAGCGCATAGAAGACGAAGAGGCAGACGGCGCAGATGCTGCAGAGGGCACCCACGTTGGTCACCCATTGGCCCCCCACGGCTTGGTCGCTCAGCCGGTTGCGGACCCGCTGCGGGCGAGGACCCTCTTGGGCCATGGAGACCCCCAGCCATGCGCACGCCACGGCCAGGCACCACCACGCAGGACCCATGGGGCCAGCCATAGCTGAGCCTAAGAGCCACCGGGGTCATTCCACAATGGCCGGCAAGCATGCCATTGTGACCTCGGCGCCCTTCCAACCAATGGCTGCGAAGAGGGTCTGAAGTCTAAAACCCAGAAGCACTCTCTCCTGACATTTCACCCACATCTATGGCTGGCGTCCTCAGGGGTCGAGGGGTCCCACCGACAGACAAGAGTTCTTTCTCCCACCTTGGACATTAGGCTTGTTTGTGAGTTTTCCGATGTTCGAGAAGCACTCTCTCCTGACATTTCACCCACATCTATGGCGTTTTCTGGCCTAACCTGGCGATATTCCAGAAGCACTCTCTCCTGACATTTCACCCACATCTATGGCCGGCGTCCTCAGGGGTCGAGGGGTCCCGCCGACAGACAAGAGTTCTTTCTCCCACCTTGGACATTAGGCTTGTTTGTGAGTTTTCCGATGTTCGAGAAGCACTCTCTCCTGACATTTCACCCACATCTATGGCCGGCGTCCTCAGGGGTCGAGGGGTCCCTCCGACAGACAAGAGTTCTTTCTCCCACTTTGGACATTAGGCTTGTTTGTGAGTTTTCTGGCCTAACCTGGCGATGTTCCAGAAGCACTCTCTCCTGACATTTCACCCACATCTATGGCCGGCGTCCTCAGGGGTCGAGGGGTCCCGCCGACAGACAAGAGTTCTTTCTCCCACCTTGGAAATTAGGCTTGTTTGTAAGTTTTCCAGCCTGCCTGGCGATGTTTGAGAAGCACTCTCTCCTGACATTTCACCCACATCTATGGCCGGCGTCCTCAGGGGTCGAGGGGTCCCTCCGACAGACAAGAGTTCTTTCTCCCACTTTGGACATTAGGCTTGTTTGTGAGTTTTCCGATGTTCGAGAAGCACTCTCTCC